AAAAAAATTCAAAGAAAAAATTGCATTTAATTCAAGAAAATTTATTACCGGAAAACTACTGCGTTTACAAAATTGTACATGACCTCATTTAAAGACCCAATATGTAAAAAAGGAAAAAAAACTCAATGTTATAATTTTGTAATGTGTTTGTAATGTTCGAAAATACAGATCGTATATATGCGTCTTTACCGCTCTCCATGGGATCCCAGCTTCTCCCAGGCGTCTCTCACATAGGCGCATTTCATCTATTAAGCCTTTATATCTTGTTCTGTATTGGGCCAGTGGAGCCTCATAGCTTTGGCGTTCTATTGCCGTTTGGTAGAAAGCCGAACAGAAGCTCAGCCACCTGCAACTTGGATCCGCAGATTTCTATGATCGTACATATGTTCTATGCAACGCTATGAACCTGTTGTGGGAGCCGCAGCCAAGTCCAGCCATCCATCTCTCTTGGTCAGATAGAATATGTCATCTGCAATAGTTACATGCAGATGTAGGCACAGTCTGCCACTCTAATTTGATCATCCACTTCTTTCATCATCGACATAGATGACATCGTTGAACCCAGTAACTAGGGATAATATGGCATTGTGTAAGTATGAAGCAATGCCAACTTCTGAGTTGGCTCCAAATGCACCTTCTGAAGCCTTGTCACTACGTCCACCTAATTCGCAACGGATGCTTTAGATGAGAAGCCGTTTTAAATAAAGTAGTTCACTCTCAGGTATGTTAAGGTATGATCGTTACTTTCTAGAGGAATGCTTTATCGCAACCTTTCCAGATGGGAGTCCTCAATGAATAAGGATCTATCAAATATAATTTAAAAAAAAATAACATTTAGCTACGGACAAAGATATGCCAAGAGCCCCAATATTATCCACTACAATATCGAACAGTTTTTGATCTCCTGAAAAATCTTTTGCTAACAGCACCAGATCGTCAACAAATACTAACAGATACTCTTCTTTCCAATACCGGGTACAATAACTCATTTTCCAATATCTCACACATGCAGTTCATAATGATATTAAAAGATATCGGGGGCAAGGGATATCCCTATTTTACTCCTCTACGAATTGTCACCTTTATGCCTTTTGAGTGATGCTGAATGTTGGTGGAAACCTCAGTGTAAAAGTCAATTTCCAAATTAGTAAAGGTGTCGGGGATTCCCGTCCTCGTGATTGCTAATCGAATCGCCGCTTGAGAAACTGTGTCGAAGGCTTCGAATTTTTCTTGTACAGAACCAATACCACCCCCTTCTTTTCTCATGTCACTGTCTAAATCATGAAGAAGCTGAACATTGACAAAACAGGGGGAACATAAGCAAAACATCTGTCTTGAAAGAACAAATTTCATTAAGTAAAATATATATCTTCAATATTGTAATTCTAGGAAGACAGAAAATTTTTCGAAATGTTGAACTCAAAATTCAGGGAGTTCAACAAAAATGAGACCTGGCTCTTTTTACTAACATTTTGCTCATTATAGGAAAAAGTTTAATTACAAAATGAGAACCATTGTTTTCTTGAGTTCGGCCAGATGTAAGGGGGAATATAAATTGTGAAAAAAAACATGTGAACTTTTCACGTGCTGGTGTCACAGACGGACAGATAAAAAAGTAAATACAGATATAATTTTAAAAAGCATAAGCAATACGAAACATTCTCTAAGAGTGTGACAATACAACATAAGAAAAGTAAATAAAAGCTTTCTATCACAAAGAACAATCAGTATATTGTAAACTTTTCAGTAATTAAATAATATCTTAAGTAAAATATCCGACCTGATCAGGCATTCCCAAAATGGTTGATATCTGACGGAGTCCATTTGAATTTTCTTTGAGATCAGTAGTTTCAATGTTTGAAATAATGGTGGTAGACGACAACTAAAAATAAACTCCTTTACCACAAACATTTTCAATTATTATTCATGTATGGTTTATAATAATAATAACTATTATTTTTATTATTATTATTATTGGAGGGAGCGAATAGGTCGTCTAGGACCACGCGGACATGCACCTGCACTTACCGACGCTCAATAACATGCATTCCGTGGCAAGTGTATGCAACTCGTTTTTGGAGGGATAGGCTTTATGCTGAAGTAATTTTTTCCTCCAAGTCATGGGGGTTGGAAATGAGTAGGCGACTCACATATAAACAAACACACCCATGCCCCCTGCTGGACTCACACCCGTTATCCTTCTGTCCGAGATCGCCACCGCACTAGCGTTAGCGATCTCGACTATCCGTATCGACATTATTATTATTATTATTATTATTATTATTATTATTATTATTATTATTATTATTATTATTACTATTTCGTTAGTTGAATAAGTATATCGTATTTCCATTTCAAAAAGTTTAAAAAGCACTGTTCGTGTTTTTTCTTCAATTTTCTCTATTTTAGATTTTGACATAAAATATCAGATATGACCAAGTGCATGCCGTAACATTTTTGTATTTTTCGATTATTTGTTGACAATGTTTGTATCTATTGAAATACGTAATATCGAATAATGTACTTTTTACTTTCTCGTATACGTACGTATATACTTCGTAGTATAGAGAATTTGGAGAAATTGAATGAATCCCTGTGGATCTGGCTCCAGTCGAAACTTTCAGATTTTGAACAACATTCTATAACATTTGGGGGTACTTTATAAGAAGCCCCTGGGTTATTTTCAAAGTATTCTCAAAAAACGGCTAGAAATTTATTTAAATTTCTTGTGAGAATAGAGTAAAATACAATTATAAAGGTGGAATTTGTCCAATTTTCAGGTTTAATTCTGAATTTTCGAGTTCTTCAGTACCAACAAAACATATATTCTGCTACACTACGAGTTTTTCCTAAATTTAACAACATGGTTTATCCACTTTTCCGCTTTCAGAACCCGGCAATAGATTTTTTGGTGGCGAAATTTCGGCGTTTTTAGGCGCCCGATAACATAACTTTCTCTTCTTACGAAGAGTTCGTAAGGTGAGAAAGTAATAATAATTTCGGTACCATTAGCGAAATCTATGTAAGTCCCATGAGTACAAGTTATATTGTATTTAAATTTAATGTTGATGTATTCTTTATTTTAGTTAAATAGGTTCCTATGGATACAGAAAGACGGACAATTGATTTGATGGTACATACCGTTTACAAATCCTTTGGGCGACAAAAGAAGGGATCTGGGAAGAGAATCAGGTACAACCGAAAACCTAGTTCAGACTAAAGAGATTAGAAAACTACTGTCAGAAAGTCTGTGCCATTCTATAGCACCAATAGTTTAATTTAAAAACATGATGTAAGTTACTCGAAGGTATCAAAGGCTTTACAAAAAGGGCCTGAGACGTAAGGAAACTCCTTAAATCCGGGCTCAGACATTGAGTTTAAGTAAGAGCCCAAACGGTTGAGAATCTTTTAGTCTTCTACCCTTACAAGACGTGTGTCAACATGCCAAGTAGGATCTGGATTGTATCACCTCTTTAACAATAAGAATAAATGATATACTAGATAAATAATTGCTGAAGGTAAAGAAGAAATAGAAGGTATCACGAATAAATTGAAAATATACATAGCTTATGAGGAATTGAAGGCAATCTTTGGTCCTAATTGTTGGGTTTATCTCCAATTAATAGTTGTGCGACTCACATTTTGAAACAAACGCATCAATACATTTCTAGACGGTAACGAAAATATATTTCAATAGCTGGTATTCGTGGCTTCTGGAGCAGTCATTACAAGCATTGATCCAACAGTGTAGTTCCTTTACTGAAATATTTTCTATTTGTTATAGATAAAATATAACTTTGAACTCTTTCACCATGTGACTTGAATTTATTGAGAAAAATCTAAGGAATTAGGGAACGAAAATGTTTTGTGGAGGAGATATTTAGAAAGAATCTAGAAGCGAATCAGTTATTTTCCAGATGATATTTATGAAGCTCTGGGAATCAATTAAAGTAGTAGTTTTGTAGGTAGGAGCGAACCATCAAGGATACACCTTAAGGAATCCTTCTCCAATTGAATCGTTTATTTCAGAAACCCGTCAAACGCCATAATATAAAACACGCTTTAGCGACGGATTATTGTTCCAGAAGGATAGACGCATCGTTTAGTGCATATTTATATGAAAAATATTTATTTATCAAATCCTTTATTTAAAAAAATATTTTGAAGTTTGAAAAATTGGGAGACTTATTCTCAGTTTTCTCGAAATGAGGAATTTGGAGTTTTACTGGTTTCTGAAATAAACGATTCAATTGGTGTGTATTTGTCAGTTTTAAACTCTCATGCATTGTTGTTGTTGTTGTTGTTGTTGTTTTGTGCCGACAAATATTTCGAAAAAATGAAATCGTTTTCCGAGGTGGGAAAAATGAGATCGTTTCTTGCAAATGCTACAAACTGTACGTATGTACACGATGTGCAATTTTTACCAATTCATTTTTCTATCTTTTTTGATCAGCACAACTTTGAGTTTTCTTACTAATATCAATACAAAAAATAAAGCCATCTACGTCTTCCTTTTTAGAATAAACGTTCTCACCGACTGTACTATAATTGCGCTTCAGAGACTCGACGATTCCCATTGGTCGAATGATAATGTTTTCTGATCCAATGTATAAAGTTTTCCCAAAATTTCATTTTGAAAATTCTTATATTACTGACGTAAATGAATACATGCTCTATAAAAAAGCTTAGTCCCAACACATTTCAAATAAATCCCCAAAACTATTGTATGTTTGGCAAAATACTAGGGTAGGATTCTCGTAGGCGCATTTGAAAATATATTTGAAGATATTATATTTGGTTTTGTGAAATATTTTTTTCTCGAACACGTGAGTTCCAGAATTTCGCTGAGTGGGGCATCGGTGGAAGGGAAGGGGCAGGGCGAGGGCGGAGGTGACGCTGGAAGTGACGTGGCAGGGGCGCGGGGCGATGATGACGGGAGGAGGGGGCGGTTCGTCAGTCGCGGAGCCCCGCGCGACAGGTGTCGCCCTCCGCGCGTATATAAAGGCGCCCGGCGCGGCGTTTTGCATAGTTGTCACCTGCCGCCGATAACGCCTCTTCCCTCGAGTCATCGCCTTCTCTTGAGGTGAGTTTCACACGCCGGGCGCCACCCACGGACACGGGATGCACCTCCTCCTCCACACTCATCAGCGAGAATAAACGGGAACAACCGGATTGCTTGCCTCATTTCTAAAACAACGTTGTCATTTTAACCTTTCAAGCAATTAAAATTGTTGATTTCTTTGAAATTTTTTTTATTCAAATGAAATATTAATTATATTCCTCATTCATGTCACATTTTTTACTCATTCGGATAAAAGGTACGATTTGTAGTTTATTTTGTTGTTGTTATTGCTATTAATTAAAAGTATCATGCCGTTTTTGCCTTGCCATCTATTATCAGTCTCGTTCTTCTGTGTAGCAGCTGTATGTGTGACGTGCAGTAAATGTGCAAGAAATGCAAACACAAGACTCATGTTCTAGATTTTTTTAAAGAATTACAAAATTACCTGCAGATATTTCTGTGAGATAAGACTTTGTTGTTAATCAGCTGATTTCCATTTTCAGTTGACAGAAAATACCTTGGGGAAGGATTTGTATTTCACAGTGAGGCTCTATATTCTCCTGAGTCTCAATGCCAGTGAAAAATTTAAAATGTGATTTCTTCAGAGGGAACGCTGTATACCTTTGTGGCATTGAGTAAGTGATTAAGTCGATGTTTTGGTAAAAGTTAGTTAAGTATCCGGCGATAAGGAAGGAGTCGTTTTTTACGTTGTGTTTAAACGGCCAATTGACATGTTGACTTGAAAGTGAGTTATTAGAATGTGTTTTCTATCCATTTTCATATATGGCAACCTTAAATAGTTAAGACTACTAAAGCAAATACGCACATGTTAATTCAAATCGGAGTACAACTGTCAAAATAAAATTTATCAATTATTCACTCTCAATGAAACGCGAAGAAGTCGAGAAAACAATTTTCGATCAAATTGTTGTACCGGATACCAACTGTCTAAAAAAAATTTTATCCACATACTGGAAATGTAGGTAACTTCTAAAACATACGTCTGTCCAAAAATTCTTAATAAATGTGAACGAAATTGTGATCATGCTCGACTAATACCGACAATTGTTATCGTGATTTTGATTCCACAATGAACGGACAAGATGTTAAATCGCATTTTCTCTTTTCCGTTTACTTAAAGCCATTATTGCCAATAAAATATTTTTGTCCGAAAATGTGTTTATTACTCACCGCATGGGCTCTTTGAATGTCGAGAATTGAGAAAATTCGCATATGTTAAAAGGTTTACAAGCAATGTCTTCATAAACAGTTTGCATTTAAACAACCTAAACAAGATATAAATCATTGAAGAATTATCTTTGATACAAAAATTACAATCGCTACCAAAGGATAAAGAATTGCATTTTTTATTCAGATACACACCATGGAATGGTAAAATAACTAATAGATCCTACAGAAAGGGTCTAGAGGAGAGGAATAAATATAAAAAAAAGTAGCAAATGGATCAGTTATATTGAAATAAATGCAGCTAATCAAAAAGTACTTTAGTTTTTCTTACATTTTTGTCTCTGTATTATTTTTGGCTGTTTTTCGTAAGGAAAACAATAAACTGAAATATGATACACTTTCTTTTTACTTGCATTTGTTAATATCCTGAATTAATAAATAATAATAATACTTAATTATATAGAATACATAGCTATTTACACGGAATAATATTAAATATGTTTATAACACATATCAACATTTAGAAAACTAATTTATTTTGATATTTGCTTAGGCTTTGAGGAAAGAGATCGAAGATTGTCACAGGCAAACCGTGTCAGTCTCTAATAGTTCGATTCGTGAATGAATATTTCCCAACGTCCGTTTTCTGAATTCTTGTCTGAATTTTGTGCATGGGATCCGCTCTGCCGATATATGTAGTTTTCTCTAATTCACTTTGAATTTCTTTCCACGCTCGAAGTACGTGTACGCTTTATACATTGCATAGAGACGTGACTTTAATCTCATCCTTTCGAGGTGACTCCCGTATCCCTTTATTCTGAAAGAAAATTTTGACGCTCTACTCTGGACCTTTTCTAGATTCCTTTGCTGCAAAATTCTGTATGGGTTCCAACACACCGGGACATATTCTAATATGGGTCGCACTAATGACATATATGCTAGTTCTTTGGCTCTACTCTTTTCCAGTATCCTCATAACAAAATGTAAAGATTTTCAGGGTTTCCCTACAATGAAATTGACTTGATTTTCCCAGCTCATTTTACTGTCTAGTTGTATTTATAAGTATTTGCACGACGTGATTCGAGGATTCATTATTGTTCAGTTTGTACGCAGATGCATTGTAACTTATACCCCTACCAAACGTGATGAACTTGCTCTTTGAACTGTTTATTTCCACGCCGTCTGTTTCGGACTAGATGTGTAATTTGTCTACGTCTCGCTGCAAAGTATCCTCGTCCTTCTCCGAGTTGATAATCCTATAAATTACGCAGTCAACTGCAAAGAGTCGTACATCTGAAGCTAAATTAGTCGGCAATTCATTTCGAAGGGCAAAAACATTAGTCCGATGACACTTGCTTATGGAATTCCTGACGTGACGTTTTTCGAGGTTGATAGGTAACTTCCGATTCGGACATCGTGTCCTGTTCCGGAGTAGTTCGTTTGTCCACGCTACCACTCTAGTGTCTATACCCCCATCTATTAATTTCTTTATAAGACGATCGTGTGGAACAACATCAAAAGCTTTCGAAAAATCTATTACTATCATGTCGACCCTTTTCTCTTCATCAACTAAGTCGGCTAGGTCCTGTAGAAGTGAGATTTCCAATCTTCCGGTACGCAAGCTTTGTTTATTAATACATTAAATAACTTAATTAAATATGGTAAAATGGCCTCTCCACCTAATTTAATGATGCCCGTGGAAATACAATCTGAACATCGTGATTTTCCTCTCTTCATTAATTTTATTCTATTCCGCAAAGTATTTACATCAATATTAAAAATTCTTCTATCTGCCAACGTTGGTATCTGAATACTGTTAGGTTTCTGCTTGAAAACCGCGCTGAAATATGCGTTAAAAGCCTGTGCTTTTTTCCCTCCTGTCCGTTATTGGTAAATTATTAACACGAACAACTGGAATCTCGTCTTTACTTCCTTTCCTTCTACGAACGTATTTAAAAAATACCGACCACTTACTATTGCCCTCCACATTAAGAATATGTTTCAAATGACATTCTTCTGCCATTTTCATTTCCTTAATGCTTTTTAATCATTTTGAAATAAGGTCATATGTTTTTCACTATGGTATCTGTTGTTAAATGCTTCTCTGGTTTTTCTTTTCAATCGCCTAATATTTGGATTATAATGTTCCGGATCGCAGTTACTTTTTAACACTTTACTTGGTACAAAAGTCTGCTCAGCATTAACTAAAATATTTTTAAACGCTCCCCATATTTCTTCCATTCCTCGTATTCTAAGAAACTCGCCATATCGCACTTTTAAGTAATTTTGAAACCCTTGTACTTTCGCTTTCTTGTACTCCTTCACTAGAATACGGGTGGTAATACTTTTCTTTGAAATACCTAACTGTAAATTGACTATAACCGCTTTATGGTCATTTGTACCTTCTAAAACGCCGCACGATAATAATAAATATTTCGGTCTAATTAGACAAATATCCAGAATCGCATACTGCCGGATCGGCCGGTCTACTACCTGCGCTAAATCCGCTGTCCTAGACAAATCAGTTGACTAGTTGTTGTACTTTCCCTTCGCATACAATCACATTACAATTTGCGTCTGGGAGATTTAAGTCTCCAGCAATAACTACACGTCGCTTATTTGTATTTTTTGTTCTTTCGTCGAGGGCGCCAAAGATTTCATAACTTCATATAATGGCTAAATGCAAATACAAATAATGTGGTTATACTGCATGGACACTTTCAGCACATGTACACACGCAGGTGAAGTCAGACGTATTTTAATGCACAAGCAAACTAGAACACACATTTTGTCCTTTTGCGCAAATAACGTTTTTTTTAAATGTTAAAAGATTTATATTATATCGTTATATTGTAAATATGTAAATTCAACAAACCTTTGCTAGCACATACTTGCTAAACATGAAATTAGTCGCTACACGACAACAAGTTGGGTCTCGGCAAAGAAACGCAGTAAGTGTATTTAAATAATTTGAGAATAAATGAAATAATCGAATAACACGAATTTTTATAACACGTACAACGATTATTTCGATCTCTTGGAGTTTGTGTTAAAGATGGTTTACTAATATTTTGGTACATTCTAATATTTTGTAATTGACAAAGTTGTTTATTTGTCAAGAGTCTGATAAAATGGAATTCAACCGTATTCACGTTAATTTTTCTAAGCAATGACAGGTTATGAATAAGTGTTCAAGCATTTTTTTAATTGAAAAACATTTTGAGGGTATTTGTCCTAAATTTAATATTTGCTGATATTAAATAAAGTCATGCTGCGCCGTCTCCATCACTTATTGGATGTTGATAGAACGGTCCTTAATAAAATATTCATGTCAAATATTCCAGATATATATCTATATATTCCATATTTTTTTCAATATTTACAACAGTATTTCCGGGACAAAAGCTAAGTTCAAACTTTTATTTCCCGTTTTCTCAAGTTTTTTAGAAGAGATATTTGAGGGAAGTAGGCACCCAGTGCTCTTCTGCCTGGCCTTGTAACGCTAACAAAGTTATTTCTTTTAAATTGGTTGCGTCTTCATAACACGTCTCTAAGCCCTTCTTGGGCCTCTAAGCGCTTGGACTAATCCTTCTTGACGCTTTTTATGCCCTTTTGTCCCGTCACGTCGCATTCAGTCAGTGCCTTTTATGCCTGCGGCTCATCTGCATTACGTACATTCAAAGACATCAAAGATAACTTTCCATATACGCTTTTTCAACACTTGTTCATATTTCAAACTATACTAGATACGTGTCTAATACAGCTTGTATTTTTCAGCGTTTTTTACTACAATACAATAGCATAATTTACATATTAATATTTAGTTCATAAATCTATGAGAAAAAATGACTCGTGCGCTAATGAATCGTGAGTGAATTAAAAGTTATTTTCGGTCAAACTTTGATTTTAGTATGTATATGACTTGTGATCAACTTTCCCAAATACGTTGTCCCGTCTATTGATGGATTTATTATTTTACATAAACATTACATTTTAGTCAAATGCTTTGAGGCACCACTGTAATTACTAAAAGTTGTGATATTAAACATCCTCTCTAGTCCGAATTTGAAACTCCTGGGCCCATTAAGTTATTACTACTGAAGCGAAGGTGATGAGAACTTCCTCTTCATAGTCATGCGGCACATATACTATCGTGTCCACGTGACCGGATGCACATGTTATTAAAGAACTCGACATTTAGTACTGTCAGAGGAACTGCACTTCCTCTTCAGGTTACAGTTGGCAGACCAAATACGAGTTTGCTCAATCATTCATTTGGCTAATACTTATTCTCCAATAAGGAATATACACTCAGAGGCGTGGATGCCGTCTGAAGAGACAATTGAAAATATTTTTTTTGAAATTTAATTACATAGATGTAACGATCAATCCTCATTACTTGTACCAAGAGTATTACAATTCTTATTTGTAGAAAATAAGACTTCCCCACATATTTGTTTGTTGTTTGCTTTAAGCAAAACTGAGTTTAATCTCTGAGTCATCCAGTTTTAAACTATGCAAACAAAACAATTACAACACAATATTTGTCCCCCACATTGGTTTTTACCACGGTACTTTAAACAGCATATTTCATTTCCACGCTGAACATCGATCATTTTTAAAAACAGTTATTTGCTTCAAAAGTTGTAATGTTGGAATGAAACCCACAAAGTCAACGTTGTACAATTGAACTCTCTTTCGTGCAGTCAATAAACAGGTTACTATTCGGTCATGTTCTACTGAAATAAAAGATCATACTCTAATACTACTATGACTATAGCAGAAATAGAAATTCGATCGCAATTCATTAAATTTTTCATTTTTAATGTTATTGAGGTTCTTTTGTCAATCAGTGTATCAGTATAATTATTGCATATAATTTTTTCAACTTTTGTCTTATCTACCAGCATACATCATCTGCGATTGATGTTTGCCTTAATTCACTGGAGAGGAGAGAGCTGGGCATTTCGTCCTTTCCGCGTGACTGAGAAAAACAACGGAATCTGGTCCCGTGACATCTACCACCATCAGAGCAGATCTTCTGAAGTCAAATATACAGTCTCCAGTACCATTTGTTTATGTGTAATTTTAAGATAAAAAATTCAACACAACGAAGTTTTGGAGAAACTAATATCGTTCTTGTGAGAAAATAATTACTGTTACTAATATGTTGTTTTTTTCTTTTCACGTACAAAATGCAAATATAGGGCAAAGAACGCTAAGCTTGGGATAAAATATGACATTTTGTCGATTTTTTGTATCTGGAGAACCCGAAAATCAGATTTTAAGGATCTAAAACCCATCATTTCCGAGTTACGTACGATGTACGGTAGCGTTTGCAGCGTGTTGCGGGTTGCATCTGCACTATATATTGTAATATATTTGTAACACAAAGTATTCATAAATTTTAGCTCTCTGAACTCCTCCTCCATATACACTTTAACTATGAAAAGTCTCACAGGGTCAATAGGGAAAATAAGCTATTGCTTAACTCATTGACTAAGCCCCAATAGCTAGGCTCCTACTACAAATGCCACCGCTGGTTGCTCAAAAGCCAATTTAGATGCAGTTTTCCTCCGACTGCATCACGTGCAGTGGAGATGCAACGGTGGGAGGTGGTTAAATGGCGCAGCAGTGTGGATGGCGTGCAGCGGTGTTGGGGCGGGGCGGGGCGGAGAGGGGAAG